GTGAAGACAGCATCCCGCATTAGGCACTGAAGTCTACATTAGCATGTGCCTTTTAAACTGCTGATGCATTAGCCAATGTGAAGCAAAAAAAGCACTTATAAGGCCAACACAGGCAAGCCAGTCATTAGGATTGAGCATTCTGCCCCTTCCTCCTTAATGGATGTATCACACAAACAGAAGAGTAAAGGCTATTCTGTGCCCCATCCCTGTAATTGGCAACAATTTAGCCCTCTACAGCCACTCCATCTTTCGTTTCAAAAGGAAGCCTGCTGCTGCACACAATAGGTGAGAGAGCTGGCCTCTGTTTAACACGGATTCATTTCTTTCAAAAGACGAGCATGCTGTGAATTTAAAGTTACCCATTCAGAGTATTTTCAGAACTGAAGCAAAAACATCGACCCTGAAGATAAGACAGTTCATGGATTTTGCAGCTGGCTGTTTATTGAAGCTCTTTTTTCTTTGTTGGGCAGGGGCGGTTCTCTTCAGGACTCTGGGTCAGGGTCTTAGACGAATCAGAGTGCTTGTGTTAGGCTGCCTTCATGCACACACAAACTCTATAAACTGAACAACATCCTCGGGACACATGAACAGGAGGTGTTGGCTACTACGGTCCACTACACGCTGCATGTGTACAAAAACAGGACACCTGATGCTCAACATGAGTCTGACTCAAAATTACAAGGGTCCTAAATATAATTAAAAGGTCTGGGCCTGATACAAAACATGTGTGTGACTTCAATGGAACGAGCAAGTTCTTTCACGCAGATGCAAACTGTTACATTTAATGGATACTTAAAACACATAAGAAGCTGGAGTCGGGGCAAAGGTCAAAACAAACGCATCTGCAATCCTGTATATCAGTCAAATCCTAATTTATAGTACACTGACTGCATAGAAAAACGTCCTGAGAGAGCAAACTGTATATTAGGGCTGCACAAATAGCCTAAGCAAAATAAATAAATAATTGAATTAAATAAATATATGTGCTGGATGTTTTTGAGTGAAGCACGGGACTCTGTTAGTACATAAGTGTTTGCAAGGGCTCGGTTATACAAATACACTCTGATTAATCTAATACTGACAGAGTAGGTGCTTCTTGGCCAGAATCAGCTGCAGTGTGGTCCAGAATGTATGCCAAAAGTCTGGTTTGTAAGACTATCTACACCCTAAAACACAACATGGGCAAATATGTGAAATGGTGCCAATACTCCTTTCCTGCAATATCGATTCACCGATACCAGCTGCGCTCTCTCTTCTCTCCGACGGTCAATTGACACACACCCATCTCCTCTCACTCTCACATCATCGTCTCATTCTCTCCGGTTAAATAGTGCTTGTATTGCGCATAATTTTACTCACTCCCACAGGTTTCGCGCTTTGTCTGATCTATCTAAGTGGCACTCTCATAAAGCCGCCTCTCAAACAGCTCGTGAGAACCAAATTGGCTTATTTTTCATGGCTTATTGCGCTTAAACGGTCAAATACATAAAAAAGTATTTAAAAAGTAAAAATGACCGTCTTGCCGAGTATTCAATGCAGTCAGTTTTGGAACGTAAATAATTAGCAGCTTTTTCACCACCGAGCCAAGCGGTTCTCATTGCGCAGTGTTGTGCCTGAACGCGTTCAATGAACGAAAGTTCATGAACTCGTTCATATTTTGGGCGAACGTGAACTGAACGTACTTACTGCCCGATGAACGTTACTGTGAAAGCGTTCATTCTGGTGTCTGTGAACGCACGGTCTCTCAGTTTAACTTCGTTCAATAGGGTGCCAGATTTCTATAGAACCTTCCAAGCGAAAACCTGGCTAAAACACACGTAACAGGCCTTAATATGTAGCGAAAAAAACACCCAATCTGGCAACACCAGCCACCATTGTTGCACCGCGGCCGCCGCATGCGTCATCAAGACAAGAAGCAGCATGTAGTCGACAAAGCAGCGAGTGAGGAGGCGTCGTATGATCATTTAAACGAGTTTTATGACAGGGTTCGGTGAGGATGGGAAAAATCTTACATTTCTGTGCAAACTTTGCCCGCCGATAAAATAATTGCTGTCTGTGGTTGTATATGGGCTGTGGCAATAATAAAAAAAAAAGCTCGCAGCATATGGAAAAAAAAAACTAGTTCATTTTTTGAAGTATGAACTATGAACTGAACTAGTTCATTTTAAAATTTGTGAACTGAACTTTGAACTAGTTCATGTAGAAAATGAACTTTCCCAACACTGACCGCATAGTAGATATATACACTAGATGTCGCCTTGGCTACGGCAGTTCATTGGAATGAATGCGTCAATAGAGCCGCCATCATGGAACAGGGAAGCCCCTCCTCTTTAATGCATAAGCATCAATGTAGGCAAAGGTCTAACGGAATTAAAATCACCATAAATCGTCATGAATGCGATTTTCTAGTTTTTTTGGTTCGTTCCAATGGTCAGACATGTATTTATCATTGAGTCCAGAGGAAAGAAAAAAAGAAAAAAAAAATTTAAACATTCTTCCTAGTTCAGATTTCATTCGTGTGAACATCCATACGCAGCACAAAAGTCCAAAAATCCATGAATTCGAAGTACAGGCGGAGATAGCAGCGTTACCTAGCTACTTCCTATGACAAGAACCCTGTTCCAAAATGGTGCCGGTTTTTGACGCATACTTAGAACCCCAAGGCGACTTCTAGTGTATATATCTATGGCTTAACCGTGCCATTCCGTGCCAACCGTAACGGTTAGGGTTTCATTTTCCATTGTGGGGCTGATAACCATAGATATCCATAATAAAGGCTAGATGTCTTACAGCAGAGTCTCTATCGTCATCACCGGCGGCCATCTTGTCACAGGCAAGCTTTCTGGCGGGCTCTGTGGTACCTGATGTAAGATGAGTGATCAGCACGAACACACTCTTATCTCGTTGAAATCTTGATATAATTCTGGATGATTATTTATTGATACACTTATTATTCAAAGTGTGCAGTGTCATAACTACATCTCTGACGTTTATGAAAAAACAAACCTTTAATTTAGCAAGTTATGGTTATTTAAAAAGTACATGCACCATTAAAACACAATGTTACGAGTGAGCGAGCTGCCTGTGACAAGATGGCCGCCAGGTGCGGACGTCGACCTCCATTGGCCAGCAGTGCAGACGAGACATCTAGCCTTAATTATGTATATCTGATAACAGCTGCTTAGAATGTTATACAAAAACGTCAGTCGTTCCCTTGGTAACGCAAGAGTTTACAGACGTTGGGACGACCTATTTTAACGATCTAAGCGCATGGTCTAAAGCGCAGGTCGCAATTGCACTTGGGGCGTGTCCAAATAGTTTAACGACGGGAAAAATGGTCAGCACGCGGGTCTAAAATGGTCTAAAAGGGTTGTCCCTATTCTCTTAATGAGTAGTGGGTGTGCTTTGGTCGTAACGTGAAATAAACCAAACAGAGTCTCATCTCCCATTCCCTTTAAAAGCCAGTTGCGCACGCGCCTTGGCGGATTGCTATTTACATGACAAAATTTGCTGACTGAACGCGTCTCCAGAGCGCAAACGGATCTGCTCGTGGACGAGGTTAGAGCACGCAAGCATACCATCTACGGGACAAGCCAGATTCCACCATATCTTTACACAATATTAATCTTTTACATTGTGATCCTTTTATTTTTAATATTTGGCTAGTTTGTGTCCTACTTGTGTGTGTAATAAGCAGAGTGTACGCGCGTTGTGGACCCGTCTATAGGTGCACATTATAAACGCACTCTTTAAATAACAAAATAAATATTGCTAAAATATTTTTTTTTTTTGTTATTTATAGAGCGCGTTAGTATTCGTTAGTAGTCAGTTTTCTCCATGGTATCAAAAATCGATATTTTTCAAGGTATCGTACTGAAGTTGAAATTCCAGTATTTGTGACAACACTAATGCGAACACAGCCAATCAGAGATCTTTCTTCCCTCCCCGACAGGAACATACAGGCCACAGAACCATCTGCTGCTCAGCTGGGCACTGTTTTCTCCATCAATAATCCATGTAGCCATCTAACACTTAGCTCTTCACAGTGTAACACAAAGGTGAGACAGAGAGGTTGACGTCTACACATCTGATACACACATTTTAAATATTCATTGCGCACATTTGTTACAAAGACTTTACAGAGGATATCAGAGTTGAGTCATGGGCATCCCAATGTTGTATACTCTTCCATTAAGTAGACCATTCTCATTACCAAAACAAGAAACATAGCACAGAGGTCTTTCCAAAAACAGTTTCTTGCATCATAGAATAACAGGGTACAGAAGATAAATAGGGGAGGCTAAAGCACAAACTGTATTTTGCAATACACAGATACTTCTTTCAGCTTTCACTTAATCCTGAGGCAGAGGAAGCAGTAAATGTCATTAGAGCTACAGGCAGAGGAAGTGGCCAACAGATTCAAATTGTCAGCAGTGATTCAAACTGCATGCTTTAAATGTAGCTGTAACATTTATTGATCTGGCTAGCTCATTTACTAGTTAATTTCAGTCTAGATCAATATTAATCATACTGTAGCTTCCACTTGCTAATTTTACTGTATCGTCAGGACGGGAGAAGAGACAACAGAAAAACAGCTATAGAGTGACAAAGCAAGAGAGGAGTGTCTTGACAATATCCAAACAAAAGTGGTCACAGAAGATGCATTTGAAACGCATGTTCATAGCAGGTGGAAACGGTAATGTCTCGACTGACATAACAGGGCTGTAAAGTAAACTCAACTTAAGTTTTGATTTAGGCAAGTACGACATTTCTGGTTCTTTGTAAATGTGTACAATTACATACTGAACCCCTAAAATCTCAGAGAAATTATGGATAATGCAGTGTGTTACTAGCGTAGTAAAAGCACCTAAACCCAACCCCTACTTGACAGGAATGTGTCTTACTTACGGTCAATCACTAAGACCAAGAACAATCTGTCTCTTCACTGCACCCCATCTTATCACTCTATTTATTTAATCAACCCCCACTCAAAGACTTACCGGCCTTCTCACTGTTCCTCAAGTCCCTCTTTGAATTATTCATGAGCAGGTTGCAGACACTGCACTCCACAGTTCCATCCATCAGTTCCGTGGACATGCTAAAATATTTAGTGTTTGTGACCAGTCGACACGACCATGCTTTAACAGTACCCCCACATCCCAGTGGGATCACCAATCCACTCCCGTCTGTTAAGGGTCTAGTCTAGCCACCCACAGACCCTCTCCCCACTTGCTACAGGAGCACTTCTTCCCTACCCCCTTTCCATTGCCCCATTTTGTTTACATGGCAGCACAGAGGGGCGAGTAGACACATTTTAAAGCACTTAATCATTATAAGTAAACTAATGACTGATTCCTTTTAAAAAGATGACCTGGAATCCCATGCAAAACCAAACTTGAGTATCTTGTGTGAATGACACTTTTAGATTTTAACTCAACTCAAAATCTCCATCTGCATGTTTGGGCATAAAGCAAAACATTAGAAAGGAAGCTAATTAACAATTAATTAAGTCTCTTCTGATTGTCAGTCACGTTCTGTCTTTGAATGGCAGTGTGGCCTAAAGTAGAAGCCTTTATCCTCTAAACCCTCGTTCCTACCCTGCCATTTTTGCCCGTCCACTCACTCGTTTGTTCTAAAAGAAAACCAATCAGACACCAGAGTTACTAACCGGAGTTAATGAAGCCCTGTCAACACACAGCTCCTGATTGACTGCTTTATTCTGTCCTTTAAAGTGTGATCACTCAGATGCTTAGGGTTTGCTAAAGCAGTAATGGCAGTGTTTCTCAAGAGAGTCAGGCTTTCGTCTACTTCCAAAAGCAGTTTCAGGAGTGACAGATGCTAATTATTAGGGTTGGCTCTGTGACTGGTATTCAGGACCTTACACAGAGGCGAGTCAGGACTATTGGAAATATCTGGTATAAGGGCATACAGGAACTCTTACCACAATAAAGTCAAACGATTTGGCCTAGGTTTCTTTCAATATCTCTAACTCAAGACAAAACTTTAATACTCACCTTTCAACCTACATTCACCAAAATCGGCAGAGTAGGCCTACTACAAACTGTCCTGAATCAGACTGCTAGCTAGGGCTGGGGGATATGGCAAAATATATTATCACTTTTTTTTTCCATATTGATCGATATCAATATTTGTTACGATATATAATTTAATAATGCTACCCGTTTGAAGAGTATACTGATAATGATGCCTGAAGAAACCAGAAGGTTCAATAGTTGAACTTAATATAGTTTATTAACATAGAAAAATTGAACAACATAATGCAAACATTTAACTGTGCAAACATGGCTTGGTTGAGAATATATTTTGTTATTAAATAATATTGATAAATAAGATTAAATTTTTCTCTAAATTTTAACATTTTACTTTTAGCAAACATGCTTTATATGCCTTGACAAAACAATGCAAGTTAGCTTGCCTTGTAACTTATTATAAAATGTAAAACTAAAAGCTGTGACTACTATCACATTAAATTTCTTTGGCAGGGCAGCAAACATTTCAAATGTTTGTAGAGGTACAACCAAGACAACAAAAGTGAACAAGTGGACCACAAAGTCCCTGGCACATTTAAGTACTCAACTGTCAGGTAAATAAAATATTAATTGTGTACTGGTTTTACATATCTTGAATGTTTTAGAGGTAGAAATCTGAGTTAAAAAGTGCAAAATGTAAACATTGTAATTGTAAACCAGTCACTATGCTACACCTTTTAGGAAGTGCTCATCATATGTAACCCTATTATAGGTTTTTTGCCAGAAAGACTAGTCTGTCCACAGCATCTGGTTTTAAAGCTGCCCTGTGGCAGGTCACAATATTGCCACCAGTGCTAAAAGCATGCTCTGAGGGTGAGCTGGTGGCAGGAATACACAGGTACCGCTTTGCCAGGAGGTTCACTCTGGGGTAAGTTGCTGAGCGGATGCTCCACCATGCCAGGGGGTTGGTCTCACTGTCTGCATCAGGAGCTACCAGGTAGCTGTTCAGTTCAGCCTCAATAGCCTGTTGGTCTGTAAGACCCTAAGTAGCAACAGAGTAGGACTTCTTGAAAAAGCTGCCCAGTGTCTTCTTCTGCATTTTTGGATGGTGACGGTGTAGCTGCTGCAGCATCTCCTCTGCCTCCCCTGGAACAGTACATCTGAATGTGAGAGAAGCTTGTGATGTGCTCTGAAATTCTTCCAGCATCTAAACCACAACCCTGGATTTTTACAGCCTCAACCTTGTCATCTTTGATGTAGCGGGTCTTGAACCGAGGATCAACTAGGGATGCCATGTTCAGGAGGTCATCAGTGGCAGCATCATCGTATTTATCATTCAGATAGCTGATGACAGTAGCCTTGATGGTCTTGGTGAGCTCTGAGTCATCAGCTTCTGGCTTCAAGACCTCCTCATTGAAGAGCTGCAGCACAGGCTTCAGGTAAGACACACTCGCGTAAGTTTCACCAGAAAGAGCATAAGTGAACTCAAGTGGATTAAGAGCCTTGTGGACAGACTCCAGGACATCAAGTTTTTTTATCAGCTGATAAAACTTTTGCAATGGCCTTCTCCTGCTCCAGCACTCGTGCTATCATTGCATGGCGGGACCCCCACCTGGTGGGTGATTCTGTGATCAACTTGTGCTTGGGTAGTTTGAGCTCCTCTTGAGCGGCTTCTAGTTTTCTCTCTTTTTTCCATGAAAAGGAAAAAGCACTGACCACTTTCTTGCACACACCCATGGCTCTTTGGATTCTCTGATCTCTCACACTTCCATCTAAAGATAAAAAAGAAAACAAAATATTTTCAATATATAACAAAATACATGTTGTGAAACTTATACAAAAAAAATTGGGTATAAAAATATATAATTATCTTGCTAATAAAAAATGTTAAACACTTCTTTAATATATAAAATATTAGTATGAATATTATTGTCATTATTCTCATTATTCTATTACATACATACATAAATACATACACAGAAGATGTGTTCATTAACTTACCAATGGCTAGATGCAGCCTGTGACCGAAACACTGCAGGCGAGTCCAATCTTTAAGGGAAGCAGCTTTGACCATGTTTGCCGCATTGTCCGTGGTGATGCACACCTGTCTGTCTTCGCTAAGGCACCAAGATGCGAGTGCATCCTCCACCCACTGGCTGATCGTTTCGGCAGTATGGTCCTCCGGAAAATAGGCCGTCTGCAAGCATCTGCTTTGAAGAGCCCACTCCTCGTCAATATAATGAATAGTCAGACTCATATATGGTCGCTGGGATGGTACCTTTTCAGGTGACTGAAAAGATTTGTTGTGTTTCCCGACTTTATCACCGACCGACGGCATATTTTGCAGACCGTCTTTATTTGCGCTTCGTCGCTTTTCAGATATCCAAACCACTTCCATATAATTGACATCTTGTTACCTTTTTTGTCAACAATTTCCTCAGCTTTTGAAGATAGTGCGAGTTCACTTTCACTCATTTTTTCTTTACATTCACTTTCTTCACTGCCGGTAGCTCAAACAGTGCTCTGCTAGCAAATGGGCATGTATTTAGATGCACAAGCCAAAATCTGCGTTCTGACTGGCTGTTGTCTGTTTATTTCTGCGTTGTAATAAGGCTGTTAGGTCTATCCTCCATATTGAGTAAAATGTGTCCAAAGTTTATCATCGTAGTCTACATAAATCTTATCACAATGCCATATCGAGATAGTTTTATCGCCCAGCCCTACTGCTAGCCTACATCTTATTTGGCTGATTGCACCTCAAACAGGAGCAAAATCCCATGGGTTTCCAATGAAAACTTCAGACTGTAATTTTACCTAGAGATTCCAAGTTATGTCCACCAAACTCAGTCTGTTCTGGCTCAAATTGCTAGGCTACATCTTTTGAACTCATAGAGGGCTCACAAACAAGAACAAAATCCAGTATGCTTCCACTTAGTGCTGGGCGGTATGACCAAAAATCCATGTGGATTACTGGCATACTATTGCGATTCTGTTCATGTGACATTGCTGTCCTGCGCAGTCCCGAAAGCTTATCATTTGCATGCATTTCAAGCATTGCGGTTTAAAAATAAATAATTTAAAAACTGTTGAAGCGCAATAAGCAGTGACAGAGAACTCATTTCACTATATGTGCATGGCACGCTGTCTGAGATCAATTTTGTCACTGTTTACTTTGTTTTTTTTACTTGGGCTAGTATTAAGTTTTTGTGATATTGAAATTGGTGACAAAAATTCTGAAATTTTAATGGGATCAAATATTTATATCATAAAAGCCTTATTTAAAGCAAAAATAATTATATTGTGATATCATTATCGTGATAAAAGATTTTGGTCATATCATCCACCCCTAGGTGCTAAATTGTTTAAATGTCTTGTGTGGGTGGGTGGAAGGGTTTATTCAGGGGTGTGGGTGTTTGGGGGTCAAGCAATTGTGTGTGTTCTCAGCTGTTTGGAGGTCGGGGGAGGAGGAGGAGATTTCTTAAAGAGAAATTCAAAGAAGTTATTGCAACACAAAGCAACTTGAATGAGTTCCAACATGCAGGAAAGACTTTTTATGCCTCAGTTTCTTGGTCAGATCTTGAGAGGTGGTTTGGTCTTCCATGATTTTCTGTAAATGTGGAAGAGCCAGAGGCAGGTGCCAGGCAAGGATCAGAGCCAACTACGAAGATCATGTATAATAGCTAAGGGGGGCAGAAAAGAGCTTACCAACTCCAACCCCCTGCTGCATGTTTCCATTTTGTTTAGATCTAATCTGAGCCACTTCAGGCAAGCACACACCTACCAGCACACACAAATGCACAGGGAAAAAACTAAAAATAAACTATAAACAAAGAACCTGAGAGAACACACGAGTCATGATAAACACTAGTGATTCAAAGTACAACACAATTGAAGCTGATAAAGTCTCACAGTAGTAGACCTGATAAAGACGAACAATTGGAAAGTGACACACCCACACAAAACTTCTTGACTTTTCACTCTTGATAGCACAACCTTCCAGCATACTATTCAAGTAAACTATAAAGTTGTGGCTTAGCGGTTAGCCCAAATGCTCCAATACGTTGAGAAGTGTAGCATTTCTGCTTCACTTCCCCCCCTCTTCTCCCC